TTGCTGTGGCAAAAAGATCGATAGAAATAGCTGAGAGACGTGCGAAACAAAGGACCCGCATGGTGTGGTGGTGAACGCGTTACTCCCCGGAAAGGACAATAGCGCGTTCGTTCCCCACCATAGACACCTGCGGGACAGAGTTTTGCAAATACATCACATAATTCCCATGGATCCTTCCCTAAACCAACAACGACGATCCTAGAATAAGTAGGAGCTGCGGATCACTACACCGATTTGCGTGAAACGGTAGACTACTAGAGCACTGTTTTCGACTTCCCGTTCAATAAGGCCGCGTGATCTTTCATCGTGCTTGCGCCGCAGCCAGGTTTCTGAGGTATAGGTTAACGCAGAAAGAATCGTGTAGTCGTGAAGTTGGGCACATAGTCTGATGTTCTTTGTTCTCGTCACTACGTTTTCGACGTTTGTGAGAACCCCAATAAACTCACCTCTTGCTCAACTCTGGTGCTAAGTCGTTCATCATGTTGATTTCTCGACTCAGATCGACGGAAAGCATCCAATGATACTCATTCCGTTGAGCATGAATGGTGCATTCTCATCCAATCCGTTCTACATGAACATCGTTTTTGTAACATTTACTCGAAGACTAATCTTTACACAGGCTTTATGGAATTCGGCCAGCATTCCTTCCACCTGGATAATAGCTGATCTTATGAGAGCAATGTCATTAGCAACACGAAAATGGTGCAATTACCGAGCATCGGATTTCATCATCCTGTTCATTTTCAATTTTCGCATAATGTTCTGGATGGTGGCAGGAAATAATTTTTGCCAAATGGCGCCGCTTTGCCTGAGTCTTCTTTACATGTCGATGTTAGAATTGTCATTGAACGGTAGTATTTCGGTTGTAAAATTTCTGTGTATCCTAAATCTTTAGTCTTTCCCAAGGCATCTTTGTGCAATGAGTAGTGAGACGCTGGCCGTTCAGTGCTTCCATGACTGCTTCTCTCTCAACTGGGCAAAACGGAGTACATTTGACATGCCTAGGAATCCTGTCACTAAGGACTGTTTTCCACCGGTTGTCGCTCACGAGCACTAGGTGTCTGGCCACTTGATTTTCGTTATTTCTCTGATCACAGCAACATCTATAATCGTTGAAGTTTGTCGAGGCTCTGTTCCGCTCTCTGACTTACGTGATATGCTGCACGCCGATCGTCGTCTTTTCGACTACACGTTTTATAACGCTGAGTGACTTTCCATCCTGCATATGTATTGATTAAGTTTCTGAAGCATAATTTGAGGCGTAGAGAATCATGGAGTCGAAAGGTGGGCACGAAGCCGGATTGTCTTTGTTTTCGTCAACACATCCGCGATTCTCTTGCAAAAATTCCCAAGCTGCTCGCTTCTTCCTGCTCAACTCTGGAGCGAACTCGCTGTCCTTGTTGTCTTCACAGTCCAGATATGTCTAGCTGGATCATTCAGTGATACATGTTTTGTTGAGCGTGAGTGAGGCATTAAGTACGAATCCTTCCTCCTTGGACACGATTTTTGTGCGACTAGCGTAAGACCAACCTTATCACAAGCTTCGTCGAGGTCGCCTAGAATTCCTTTCACTTCGGTAGTTTTTGATGTCATAGGAACGATATCATCAGCAAAGTGAGGATGACGTAATTGGGAACCATCGATTTTCTCTTCCATATTGTCCCATTCCACGGTCCATCTGACGGTGACTAATTTGTGGATAGGGAGTCTTCCTGCCTAACCTCCGTTATGGAAACATGATATCTTGGTGCTATAACTTTATATAGTTGACAAAGAGTCTTGTTCTTTTCCTTCTCAACTGAACGAAAACTTTCTCGAAATCGATAGGGATTTAACAGAGGGGTCTCGTTTATTTTTGCCATAATCCGTTGAGTTTTGTTATCGCGTGGATATTCTATGTAGTCCAAGTTTGAGCGAAATTGAGGAACTCAACTGAACCTTCGATTAACTCCGATTGGTCAGTAGTGGTGACGGTTCTGAAGACATTGCTGAGGAAGATCGACGTCTTGAGTTGAGCGGACAATTTTCTGAACTTGCATTAACTACTTCATGTTACTTCCTTTTCCGATTTTTTAAACTCGTTTCCTACAATATTATAATCGCTTGTCGCCTTTAACCGTAGCGTTCGGATTCAACGACTGAGGATTCTGGAATTTAGATTCGCATCAACTAGTACCTCAAAATGGTTATGAGGAAAGTAGAGACGCGGTGGGCAATGTGTTACTATCAAGCGAACTAGTAAGCATTTAGACCTTTCCTTTCAATAGTTCTCGCCAGCCTTTCTTCCCTACAACAGTTTAGGTATATAGCCGTTGCTAGTCAACCGATTATATTGCGGCTACGCAGTAGTAACTGAGAGGCCTACACAAGTGTAGAAGCCGACGGATCTAAGCTGGGAATCGAATGCATAATGCATCCTGGAATAACTTATCTCATTCTTTTCTGACTTTCCTTCGAGAACCGTAACTACTAATCAAGCATGCGTACACAGTGTTGAGTTTCAAGGAGAAGAGAAAACTGCTTTTTAAGAAGGTGGGTGTCTGATTCCAACAACGGAAAACACTGCAGCAAATGAACGAGAGACCAGTTCCGCGGAAACCACATATCGTTCTATCTGCTCAGAGATGATGATGGTTTGCAAACACATCCTTACAGAAGTTCTATACAGTGCATTTGAAGGAAATGGCAGACGCGGAGATCGATTCAGCGGCCAGGTATTCGCCATTGGTGTATCACTTACGAGTCTTTCCATTTATGAGTGATTCTCTTTCCAATGAAGAATTGAAAAGAAAAACCACTTATTGAACAGAACAAGTCAAGCCGTATGGAATAGGCGGAGAGTTTATTCATCTTTCCTTCTCTGATTCGAATCGATGAGGAAACCAAAGCGGTTTTTGAAAGGTTGTTAACTAAACAATTTTATTCAGAATCATAAAGGATAAATAAAAGCATAAAGCTCCGGCGTTGATTAATCCCTGAGCGATGCGCCGTGCGTCCAGCTTCATTAAATGTCGTTTGGAGATGACTGAATGCACATCTGGTCTTTACAATGACTCGCGGTTGTCTACCGATGTATCCAGCCAGTGCTCCTATCCTCCCATACAAGTCTGGCACTAATCTTCCTGCCCCAGAGGGCTGGAGGGCTTGGGGGGCCGGGGTGAGGGAGTCCATCCATGTGTTTTCCAGGATGATCTGACCACCTCACCACACGCGCACTTCTGCACTTCTCCTTAGCCCTTCATTATATTTTCTTACATTTATTAACAAGGAAAAGTTTGGAAGAGGACTTTGATAGTGTTAACAGAAAATGACTTCACAGTTAACGAGATTTGCATTTGCAAAAAAAAGCATAAACAAGATATTGCTTTACTGGATATTCGCACCTTGGAAGTATTCGAAATGGTCGTCCATACTATCCATCAGATAATAAACGATCCGGTTGGCTAATAGCAGCTGGTTTTGGAAATCAAAAGCAAATTCGGTTATACTCCTGCCTGTTGGAAATCCCAACCTCTCTCTCTCTCTTATAGTTTATCGAGTTAATTGAAATCCTACATGATTCAAGGTTTACGTAGACAATACTGCTTTGTAACAAGTTTGAATCACGAGTGGGTCGTTTCTGCTTTCTCTAGGTCCTACAGCGAATATCTGTATTCTCTGCAAACCATCACCGATGCGTTCATTATCGACTCGTATTTTCGTTGAAAAATTCTTCGCACTTTATAATTATCTTTTTTTCTTTGAAGTATGAACGCTGTTACATTAAGTCGTTGCTTAGCTCTATAAAAAGGGTCGAATGCGGCCCCTTCGTTGACGGTATTGAGGCGGTCGTTACAAGTGAGCTGTGTGATACGAGATAATGCAACCTAATTTTGTAGATTACGTTTGTCCTTTTCAGGAAATCAGTTGGCATTTCGCCGAAAAATGTCTCATCGCCACACTTGCTGGCTTTCTTAGGTTTCTCCTGTCAGTTCCAAGAAGGCCAGATCAGCCAACACTTGCATTGCTTTCTAGCGATATTTCTGGACTGCGACGGCTTCTTCATAACTTCAAATGTGGGTGATTTCTTCTGCCGAACGCGAGATAGTCATCAATGGATTCTTCTGACAGAAGCGTTATGTTGGGATACGTTTTAGTCCATGATTGTTGTCTAGGAAATGTATAGAACGTCGTCAGCTATCGCAAAGAATCCTTTCTTAACCGAATTTACAATACGGTGGAAAAAAACATAGCGATCCCTTGCGCAAGAGAAATCCAAAAGTTGTTTCATAACGACGCCTCCTTGATCAAGTCATAAAGAATTATTTGGCTAGATTTCTGGATTTTTTAATTAGGTTGGAACCTTTAGATTCCCATTGCTGAATTCAATGCTTCCAAAAGCGCTTGAACCGAAATATCACATTGGAGGCGGCAATCGATCACCATCCGTCCTTTATAAAAGTGCACCGTCCAGTGAGCTCCCTCACTTGAGCGGCATCGTTTTCGTCTTCCTTGTCGCAGTTTAGTGATGTAGGAAATTTTCTTCAGGAATTGTTTCGATCAATAAACTCAGTTCATCCAAAAATTCTTGAACCGTTGTGAATGGATTCACTTCATTTCATGTCCTCAAACGATCGTCGTAAGATGCAGCAGTTCGTCTCCAACTCTTTTCGTCTTCAATGTCTTTCTTTGCCTTCCCGTAAATTCCGGAGTCAACTATCTTACTGTATCAACTATTGTACTGCATTTCCTTGATGAAATGCAATACTGTTATTGCAGGCGGTTTTTGCAGCATTACATTTAAGTTTTATGCCCATTTAGGAGTTTACGGACTCTTTAAACTTTTATATCTTCCATTGGACTACAGTCTATCAAAGTTACCATTCAGATAAAAGCATTAACTTAAGAATATAAGGTGGAATCTACACCCCAACATTCTACGCAGAACTCAGAGAAATAAGATTTCACTGGAATACAAACAAAGCACTAAAATAGGGAAAAGAGCAAAAAAAAAAGTGACATTTTCGACAGCAGTAGTCTAGTAAGGAGCAAACCAATATGCAATTGATAGGCATGAATTGATTGGCTAAACGTTTATTTTTGAAAGTTCTTCGGCGCATGCAGCTGTAAGTATGCACAACTCTGCTCCTGAGCCCTTCATTATTTCTTCTCAGATTTCTTAACAGCGAAAAATTGGAGTTCATGTAGCTTAGAGAATATCGACCTCAACATTGTTAAAACCACAGTTAATGAATGAGATTTACGCTTGCGAAAAGAGGACGAGCTAGAGATGACATTCCTAGAAAATTCGTATCTTGCAAACCACCGGTAAAACGTCTGTTGAGAAAGCTACTATATTCTCAAAATGGTCATTCATACTATCAGATAGTAAACGATCCAGACGGCTAACAGCAGTTGGTTTTAAAATAAAACGCGAACTCAGTTTTATTTCTACTTCCTAGAAATCGCATTCCCTCTCTCTGTCGCTCTCTCTCTCTCTCTCTCTCTCTCTCTCTAACAGTTCAATGTGCTACTCAAAACCCTACATTACTCCAATCCTACGTGGAAAATATTAGTTCGTAGTAAGTTTGAATTACAAATGAGTCGTTTCTGCTTTCACCACTGGACCTAAGGGCTTCCTACAACGAAGATCTGTGTTCTGGGCAAGACACTGCCGACGTCTTCATTTCAGGCTGTTCATGCTGAAAAATTCGTTCACCTTCATAGTTGTAGCTTTTCCATAGGAGAATGAATGTTTAAAGTCTAAGAATGATTGTTTTGTTCCAGAAAAGGAATGAGTTCTGGCCCTTTTGGTGAGGGTGCTGAGGCAGACCTCATAAGTGAGGTGTGTGATACGAGATTGTGCAGTTTCATTTTCTACATCACGCTTTTCCTTTTCAGGAAATTAATCGGTATTTCGCCGAAACAGGTTTCATCGCCACACTAGCTGGCTTTCTTAAGTTTCTACTGTCAATTCCAAACAGGCCAGATCAGCCAACGTGTGCATTGCTTGAGGTGTTGCACACAACGAATAGCACAGACGAACTAGCTATAGGCTGGTACGCTTCTAGTAATATAGAGTTAAAGTAATTGGTATCATTCAGATGCTTGAAATACCGCATGACCGTCTCGACACCAATGCAAAGATGGCGATTCTTCATGAAACCAGGTCCGAGGTTAGTCGTGGTTCCAGAGCACTTCCATTTCGTAATGTTGTTTATGTTGCATTTATTAGTTGCAGCTTATGAAGGCAGTGGAATTGAACAGCAAGCTTAAAAGGCGCCATGACGAGATTCGTAAACTGTTCGTGAATGGACAGCAGACAAATTGTGGACAACTCAGTGACTACCATGAACAACATGAAAATCAGTGACAGTGAGCTCGGTAACGTCAAAAAGAAAGTAACTGATAGAAATCGTACATAGTTTTAGGTTTCAAGATCAAAGCAACAATATTGACTGCATTTTCCCTTCCATTTGTTGTATCTACCTTTCTAATGAAACCTCCAGGTCTAGAAATTAGGGTTAAATTTCCCTTTTGTAACACTTTTTGTATCATATTTCCTCACAAATCTCCGTCTTTTATTCCATTCGAGGTAACATGTGTATTCATATGTAATCAAATCCTCTTACTATATCATCTAGTAATTCTAACCTCTTACCGTTTTTCTCTACATTTTCTTTTACGTCCATTGCCAAGTACTTTTTAACGCTGACTTACCTGCATACTTCATATACTCAACATTTCGTCCACATTGAATTGATTATTGTTTACAAATGCTTTTTCCAAGAAAAAGAACTCACTAGATTCACAGTAGTATTTAAATGTTCGGACTTCGCCGGGCTGCATGCCTACTTTCGAATCAAGCCGGGAATCATACAATCGGGAAAGCGCATTAATCTTTGCTCGTATACTGGTTTGCAACTTTAGGTCCAACAATACCAGATTCACTCATACGTGAGTGCGGAGCGGATTGGCCGGTGTGAGTCGAAATCAACTCGCAGCTCGGATCACAAGAATGAACACAGAAGAACAGAACGGACTATCGTAATGTATTATGGGACCATTCTTCATCACACTAGCAAGCTGCACCTTGTGGTTTTAGCTTCAACACAAAGAAGGCGAATGCATTAAAACAGTTATCCAAACTATTGTAAATACTGGTCTAACGAGATTATCACGTTTTGTGGAGATTGAATCGTTCTGTATGGAGTTTGAGAAGTTCTACAGAAATGATCATGCGTTCATTAAGGGCATCAATGAATGACTTTTACGCTAAGATTGGACCCAAAGCACGTCTGAAAAACGCCGTTTTCATGATTACCTGGAGCACTCGCGGTTAATCGCAATTCTAGGAGCCCTCTCTCGTCCGCACTGAACACGGAACTGTCCCAATATAAACGACACGAAGTAGACCACAGCATAGTAAACCGAAGATGTAGTAGCTATTCGCCGAATAGTTACTAGCGTTGTTTTGATCCTTCCTTGTACGAATTAGTCGTGTCCTCACGTTGTACTTAATGGCTACACGTCTATTCCCTAGGGTGTTTTTGCACCACTCCATCTCGATCTAGCACTCCAGACATCTGCTCACTATACATATACCTCTTCATGTTTACTGTTGCACTCCGTGTGTCTACCCATAATTCCCAGTCAAGTCTAGTCATACGATGGCTCCGCTCATCTTCATATCCGTTATTGATCGGTGGATGCGTGGCAAAATCCTGTCGCACTTATGCCCGATCACACATGGCCAGCAGTATGTACTATCATTATTTTTCTATCATATTGCTATAACACTGTTGTACAAGATGTTTTGATATCGCTAGTACTCCCTCTTGCTTTCTAAGCTATCTCTACGTACCTGTCACGTTACTGCTTGTATTTTCTGCTCCAAACGTCCCATTATCGTCACTTAGCAGTTACTGTGTTGTTATTACTACGTAATCGATTTTATTACTCACTTACTTGGTTACTTGGACGGTTCGTTTTCACGAGCTCTGCGGATCCCAGCACATATGCCATTCGTTCCTTTCTCTCATAATCGTGGTCCATGGTGGTGGTCTTGTTCAAGCATGGTAGCGCGTTCGAGTTTCATACCGTGATCTGTAAAATAACTGCACCTGAGGGTGTAGCTGACTTAGTTTCTTTACGAACACGTCCGCCCAACGTGCAGCTGGTCGTCCAAGGAGATGTTTGCATTCTGTTGGAGTCCACTCTTCTGTTCTTTCCGTCCATATGTCGTCTGTTCTTGTCATTATGTAACCGGCCCATGTTTGTTCCGCTGTCCATGTATATTCTCCTTGATCTCAAAGATATGACAGATTTCGAAGATCAGAGCTTCGCATTCCGCCTGCGTATTGAGAGGGCCGGTTATATTTCAGAAGACATCGCTCGAGCGCTCTTTGAGCAGTCCGAAGCATTCTTGACGTAGTTGAAGTATCCACCCAGGTCTCTGCAGCATAACAGAGCGCTGGAAGGACTGTACAATCAAAGAGATGAGTGCGGATTTTCGGGTTTTTCAGTTGGTCGGTGGCTTCTTTGAGAGGCTCGAATGTAACTTCATTATCCACTGCAATGCGGCACTGAACAGCTTTGACCATACTGTGTCGTCCTGTCGAATCCCTTTCCCTATGGGTATTGTAAGAGGTCGATCAAAAAGCTGCATTTTCGTAGTGCATTTTCGCTAACAGTCGGACAGAATCCTTATGTAGGACGGGTCTACTCATTGGTCGACGAGCGCTAATAGGATTGCATTCGTTTCGACACTGCCAAACGCTTTCTCGTAGTCGACAAAAGTTAGAACTAGAGGCAAGTGGTATTCCCGACAAACTTCGATAACCCTGGACGCGGTTTGGACGTGGTCCATGCACCAAAATCCTTTTCGAAATCCTGCTTTCCCGACTGGTTGCGTCTCATCCAATGTCCTTGATATGCGCGAGAGGGCAATCTTCGTGAAGAACTTGTAGAGTACACTTAACAAGCATAAGGGACAGCAGTTACGAAGATCCATTCGGTCTCCTTTCTTAGGCAGGATGACCGTGCTCGACGTCCTCAACTGGTCTGAGATTTTTTTCCTTTTGAAGGTAGCCTGTCATATGGTTTGCGAGAAGTGCATGTGAGTTGTGGCCTCTAGCTCGAAGAAAATCAGCAGTGATATTCACGGGTCTTGGAGCTGTGCCTCTTTTCATGCTTACTATCGCAACTAGGACCTCTGATGGAAGAATTCCTGGTGGCTTTTCCCCAGCGGGGATATTAGGGCCCTGGACAGGGATTGTGGAACGGAAAAGGTTGGTGCAGAACGTTTCCGGTATTGATTCCATATCATGGCGGGAAGTTTTGACGATCCCATCTTCGTTCATCAGGGCTGACAGCGGAATAATCCCACCAGCCCCGACCGCATTTTTTCAGACTGCTTCTTTTCTCTGCTCCTTTTAGTATTTTCTTCTGCTTGTACCGTTGTAGACCTTCCTGCAAAGCTCCTCTGCAGCTGGCATTTAGTACTAGCCATGTTAAATGTGTGGCAGTAGGATCAAGCTTCAGTTTCCTTCCTTTTTCGAGCAAGTCCTTAGTAGTGATAGGGATGCGATGCGATCATCTTGCTTGAGGAACTGATGCGAATTCGGCGCAGCTTTTCAGTCCTTCGACAAGTAGCTCGTAGTGCTCGTTCGGGTCTGCTTTAATCTGCCAGTCAAGTTTGGACAGGACTTCGTTCAGAATATTCTCGTTGTATACAGCTAGACTTTTTCCTCGCGGTCGATGAAGAGCGTTCTTTCCCAGTTTGTGGCTGAATCGGATCTTCGCGCAAAGAAGGCGGTGATCGGAACCAGCACAAAATGACGGGACTACCGATTACGCAAACAAGCAACTTCAATATACGATTGCGGATTGGCGGAGCTTTTCGGATGTTTACACTTGGCTAAGAAACATTAACTAAACACACAGCGTGCAACAGTGGAGCAGAAGAGGTGACAAAATAGTATGCAGATGGTTGGAGTGATAGGCCGAGATGGGGAGGTACGAGACATACTCAGGAAGAGGTGTGTCGTCATGAAATGCAAGCTGTTGAAGCGACTGATTTATGCCAAGAATGACCAGAGTAGTGGTAATAAGTATTCAGGGAAACAGCTACAGAAGGTGATGCCTAACTGGTGTCACTGTTCTTCTAAAGTTCTAAACGGCATCAGACCATTGTCGTCTTCTTGAAAGAATTCATTCTTTGTGGAAAGGAGAAAAAGATGCTAACTTCAAAAAACGAGAACCAAAATAATGATGAACTAGGATTCATCCAGTTTATTAACTGGCTGTCAAGAAGACGTTTGTTTCGATGGCATAGACGAGGAGTACGATTCGCGCATTCAATATCTTCACGTTAGCGTTGTGAAACATGAGAGCTCGGAACCCTCCAACGGACACGTCTTCATAAACATTTGAACTGATATGCCAATGTCGAGTCGCACGAGGTACAGGCAACGGCCAACTCATTTCCGAACTTACAAAACAATGCAGACGGGCGAGAAAAGAAGCTTTTAAAGAGAGTAGACCAGCAGTTATGGTTGAAGCTGCAGGGACTGGGAAAAGCATGCGCAAAACCACGAGGACTATGCTAATTAGAAGACCTAGGTGACCGCACTCCGACGCCGAGGCGGAACAGTTACACTTTTCAGAAAGGCAATGCAGAAGATCATTCACGACTACTACTCACATTTCTTCAATAACCACATCCTCGTGCCTTCGCATGAAATAAAGGAAGGAGGTATATCAGGTCCCACCGGTTTCCCTTCGGAAATCTCACTTGCTTTTCCTACTGTCTACCATGTACAAACTCTTTACTCTAGTCGTCTTAAACAGGTTTGGCTAAACATTGGACGAAAAGGAGCCACTTGAGCAACCAGGGTTTCAAAAAAGTTTCACTAAAGTGGACTATATCCACACGACAACAAGGCTTATTGAGGTATCGCTAGAGTACAGGAGCCGCTCTGTCTCCTGTCCATGGGTTTAAAGAAAGCTTTTGCTCAATTGAGATAGAATTAGTCATTGAAGTCAGACTAGGACAAAATCCTCCCAACGGTTTACCGCCTGATCGCGGCTAGGAGGGCTTCCCCCGAGTGCTGGACTGCGATGTACAGCGGAGATTCATCCCTTGCAGGGTCTCCCAAGATGAGGAGTCCGGCGTTCCCACCAAGAAGTCTAGCTATGGATAAACCAATACCAGGATCTACCACCGTCCCGGTATCAATGTCACATGGTGGCAAATCTTCCTCTGATCTACAAGGATTGCGACTGCCTGTGGTGGGGAAGACCTGAGGCAGACTTTGGCCAGGCTGACATCGGGATTCCAGGTAACCGCAATGGCTTAACCAGCAAATCTCCGAAAAATGGCGGGTATGCTGGGGCCCGCAGAACTAGTGAGGACGGGCCGTTTAAGTTCGAAGTATTAAGTGAACTGTTAAAATTCCGCTGATCATTCGTTGTAGTACGATAATGCGAGGAAGGGTTTCCTCAGAAACGACTCTCAATGTAATCTACTTAGTTTCCATTACGTTTGACTACTTTTCGCTATTTTGTCACTTGATTTGCTTTACTTTGTTGATTTTACTCTTGTACAACTCTCAGAATTCGAGCGAAGGAACCACAATTCATTTTGAAAGCAAATCAGTTTCTAACTGCACGACACCACTAACGCATAGCTCACCGCAGAGGCACTATAGTGTCCACATTCGTTCTAGTGAGTTTGAGATTTTTTCGCTGCGATATGTACATTCATTCGGTGGCTAATCGTAAGCAGACCCAAACCGTAGGGATGGGACCAGAAAAGGCATTTTCTGCACTTATTACTATATAAATAACCCCTTCAGCACGAGTTCATTTTGCGGCAATACATCCTGAAGCGCGATACAGTGAAAAATACACCACTTGTAGAGAAATGAGCCAACGAGAGCACTTAATAACTTAGTAGCTAATGTGTAGTTCATTCCAACGAAGTTACAACTGCTGTCTAGCAAGTTGGTTTAGCAAACAACTCATCAATAATAACAAGGGTCACCGATGTCATCCATCGCGTTACACGTTTGGAAACAATTCTCAGAACGATAATTTTGAAACCGACCGTCACTAGACCTCGGTGCTATAATAATGAACGTTTATCTAAATTGTTGAGTTTACACGAGGTTGATAGAGATATTTATTCGGCTAAAGTTTCGACGTCTTCGTATTCATCATTACCGACCGTCCTTGTCGGTTGTCCACAGTTGTTCCTCTTCTCGATGTGGCGTCTTCATCTCGCATTGAACCGGATTTTCCTCAGTTGAGCATCTCGAATGANCCATACTCACCCGGCGACGCTCTTTCATGCAGGGAAGTTGTTTCTGATGTGACTATCCTTCGATAATGAATTTTTTCAACGGATAATCATGTTCTTCTCTTCTCTTATAATTCTAGCAATCCTCAGGTTCTACTTTCACAGTTTTTCAATGATGTTTTTGAGAGTAGTGCTAAAAACGCTTATATTATTATTTAAGAATTTCACAATTTATCAAGTTATTCTTTCACATGAAATAAAGAGGATAAAGCTCTCGGCGTCGATAAATTCCTTAAATTACGAGTCAGATCAGATCACCCACCGCTGGCCAAATTCCAGCGTGGCACCGCCCAACATCACGAAATTTCTCCAATTGACCGATGCTACTTTGTACTTTTCAGGGTTTTTCTCTTGAATTATTTTGGGATATATATATCTTTGCGTTACAAGTTTGTATGGTCACATGGAGTCTAGGACGTTTGAAGAAAAAAGGTACAAAATCAAAAAGTGTAAGTGATCTTACCAGTAAGCAGTAACAAGGTATACAGAGTCAGTTCGATGAAGTTGACATTAACCAAATGTACTACTTCTTCTCGAAACTGTTCTATTAACCGACCCGCATTTTCTTTTCTAGAGAGCATTCACGATCATTACGGTAACGTTCGTAAGAGGCGAAAAATAACTTATTGCCTGGATGAAAGTATCAAAAATGGAGTAGATCATCCTGGTGGGATTTTCATTGACGAAAAAAGGAGCTGAATATCTATGAGGATTTTTNNNNCATGAAAAGAAGCCCTAATAGAGTCAATAAGAAATCATCTGACATGACGAAGGAACAATTTCCTAAACATCTTAACGAACCGTTGGCTCCAACGCCTCCAGAGGAGAAGGCGGTCTTTACTAATTTTTAGTTGTTGTCTAAAAAGCATAACTGAGTGCAAACTGGTAGTAGCGCAGTTGTTAGAGGTGACAGTTGCAAAGCAAACGCGATCGTTGGTTCGACCCAACCCCTCACCTCGGGCTAATCACGTCGCATTCCTTTTGGTTGGCAAGCAGTAAGTAGAATGGCCTGCGAGAATAAAAACAACAGTAACATAGTACATGTGTAGGTTACCGCAGGGAATTCCGTAGAT